AGTTAATTCAAAATAAAATATTTCAAAATAGCACGTCTACACACAAAATGCATTTCGAAATAGCATTTTCCTATTTCGAAATAGTGCGTCCACACTGAGTGGATGCTGAATCGCATTTAAGACTGGCTGGAACCAGTTCAGGCAGGGCATCAGGTCAGGAGTTACTTTGTGTGGCTGCTGCCTGAGGCTATCTGAGGCCTGTGCTTAAAGGGACCCCGCCCCCCCCAGACAGCCGGTTCTCAGGTTTCCCTGCTTGCTTGCCTATCTCGCTGAGGGATAGCAAAGCATTTTTGTCTCTGTGTGCTCTGGTTGCCCTCACTTGGGACACCACAGCACTCTGCAACATTGAGCCAGAACTGCCCCTGGGCACTCAGGTGCTTCTCTTGGATGTGTTGCTTCGAGCCTGGCTGCACTCTCTGCAGGGTGCCATCCGGGAGGTCCATTGGGGGGCTGTCAGTATCCAGGATGCCCTGAGGGAGAGCTTTCACCCTGAAGAGCACTAACAGTCTCCCTGGTATGCCCCACTGGGGGCTTGTGCCTCATTCCTCCCTCCCGTCCTTCCACTTACCCCTCTCCAACCCTCCTTCCTGATGTCAAATAAAATACACATATTTTCATGAACACAAACTCTGTTTATTGAACAACACTGGGGTGGGGGAATGAAACTCTGGTGAGACTGGGGAAAGGAGGTGGGAGAAGAGAGGAGAGAGGGTGGGAGAGGGGAGGGGGAAACCTGGGAGGAGGGAGCTGGAAGGGGGAAGCAACAGGAACAAGGCGGAGGGGAAGCTCAGGGCTCAGGGTTGGTGGTCTTGCTGGGCCAACTGTCTCCCAGCACTGTGGGTGTGAGGGCCTCAGCCCCCAGGTGGATGGGGAGGGGATGGAGAGTGGGAAGGGTGTGGAGGGAGAAGCATGAGGAGGAAAAGAAGTGGGAGAAGGACTGGTGGCTGGGGAGGCAGCAGGCGCTGGAGCGGCAGGAAGCAGCATGCTCTGTACCAGGGTCTGCAGGTGCTGGCAGATGGCACGGCTCTGGACAAGCTGCTCCCACCGGAGCTGCAGGTCTTCTTGCACCCAGTGCTGGAAGGTGCGCTGCAGGGCTCATAGTGCCCCCAGGTGCTGCTGTTGGTACCCCTCCACTGCACTGGTGGTCCTGCGGAGCCCTCGGGTGCGGAAGCATGTCCTGGATGGTGTGGTGTGCCCTGCACGCACAACTGGTGCAGCTGTGGAGAAACAAGAGCAGTGGTCAGTCTTAGAATCATAGAATCATAGAATAATAGGACTGGAAGGGACCTCGAGAGGTCATCGAGTCCAGCCCCCCGCCCTCAAGGCAGGATCAAGCTCCGTCTACACCATCCCTGACAGATGTCTATCTAACCTGTTCTTAAATATCTCCAGAGAGGGAGATTCCACCACCTCCCTTGGCAATTTATTCCAATATTTGACCACCCTGACAGTTAGGAATTTTTTCCTAATGTCCAATCTAAACCTCCCCTGCTGCACTTTAAGCCCATTACTCCTTGTCCTGTCCTCAGAAACCAAGAGGAACAAATTTTCTCCTTCCTCCTTGTGACACCCTTTTAGATATTTGAAAACCGCTATCATGTCCCCCCTTAATCTTCTTTTTTCCAAACTAAACAAGCCCAGTTCATGAAGCCTGGCTTCATAGGTCATGTTCTCTAGACCTTTAATCATTCTTGTCGCTCTTCTCTGTCCCCTTTCCAATTTCTCCACATCTTTCTTGAAATGTGGTGCCCAGAACTGGACACAGTACTCCAGCTGAGGCCTAACTAGTGCAGAGTAGAGCGGCAGAATGACTTCACGAGTTTTGCTTACAACACACCTGTTGATACAACATAGAATCATATTTGCTTTTTTTGTAGCAGCATCACACTGTTGACTCATATTCACCTTGTGGTCCACTATGACCCCTAGATCCCTTTCTGCCATGCTCCTTCCTAGACAGTCGCTTCCCATCTTGTATGTATGGAACTGATTGTTCCTTCCTAAGTGGAGCACTTTGCATTTCTCTTTATTAAACCTCATCCTGTTTACCTCTGACCATTTCTCTAACTTGCTAAGGTCATTTTGAATTATGTCCCTATCCTCCAAAGAAGTTGCAACCCCACCCAGTTTGGTATCATCTGCAAACTTATCCTTGGGGACACAGTAGGAGAAGCCCAGCCCCCCTCTGCAAGGTGAAGATGACCATTCCCTGCACCATCAGAGCCGATGTGCTTGCAAAGAGACCATGTTTGGAATGTCCTGCAATCCCTGAGACCGCATCCATGCCCCCGTGCTGTATATAATGTGGGTGGGATGAAGGGGAGATGTCCCCTGCCTCTGTGTAGAGTGGCTTTGCGAAGGGAGGGCATCCTGCTGTGTCTCACCCCGGAGTCAGGAGAATGTCATGCCTCTTCACACACGCATGTGTCTAACAGGGTAAGGCCCCTGTGTGGCAGCCAGCTGGGGCCAAATGCCGTGAAGTGGCATGGCACATGCTCACACATGCATAGATTTCTGCATGATCCATGGACAGCAAGGCCCACGCACGCAGTCCCTGGTTTCCATCCCACTCTCTCTCCCCCCACCCTCCACATAAGGGGACAGTGATGGCACTCACCTGTTGTTGCCTCCCTGGCCTCGGATGACACCGGCAACAGGTCCGCTGGGGCGGCTCGGAGGTCCTGGTTGCTCAGCACATTCTGTCTGGTCTGCTGAGGCTCCAGGTTCTCTTCCTCCTCCTCCTAGATGCCCTGGTAAGGGCCGTTTGCCCCAGAATTGATGACCATCTGTGGGACACGAACCATCCCGCCCCCGAGGACATGGTCCAGGGTGTTGAAATAGGGGCAGCTTGGTGTGTGTGCCCATGGTTGGGAGTTGCCCCCTGTGGCCCTGGCATATGCCTGCCCTGCTGCAGCTCCTTTATTTTCATGTGAACCTGCTCCTGGATTCACATGTGGCCTTTGGTGGCCAGGTTGGCAGGCCTGTAGACGGCCATGTTCCTCCACCTAGTGCAGAGATCATGGACGTTGGAGGAGTCCCCCAAAACCTGAATGAGGTCCATAATCTCCGCACTAGACCAGGAAGGCGCCCGCCTTTTCTGGACCCTTGCAGACTCCTGGGAACTGGCAGACTGCTACTGGAGCTGACAGACTGCTCCTGGGGAGTAGTGAAGGGCTGGCTGGCACTGGCTGCCTGGTGCATGCTGGGACCACTGGGTCAGGTGCAGCTAGGGTTGCCAGATGGTGGAAACAAAAATATCGAAACACCCCCCCCCCAAACAAAACGGGGAAAAATTCTGTTGAAGGGAAAAAAAGGGGGGGAGACCAAAGTTGTTGCGCAAAAAAAAAAAAGACACCAAGTAAGCCAAAAAAAATTAAAATAAAACAGCATTAAATGCATGTCCCCTTTCAGAGTTAGGGATAGGAACAGGGGAAAGGTTGAGCACTAAGACCCAGGGGAAAGCATTGCTTCCCCTAGGTCTTTTTTTGGCCGGCAGCCATTTTGTGCCGGCAGCCTCGGGGAACCAGGTAAGCATGTGGGCTGGGGTCGGTGAGCTGGGGATGTTGGGAGCCAGAGGAGGGCTCGGGGAGGAGGGGGAAGAAGCCGGGCGCTGAGTGTTTGTAGGGTTGCCAGGTGCCCAGCATTTTCACCTCCTGGCCAGGGAAAAATTCAGAAAATACTGGATATTTTAGGTATCCGGTATTCTCTGAATTTTTTTACTGGACAGGAGCTGAAAATACCGGACTGTCCGGGTGAGTACCGGACACCTGGCAACCCTAGGTACAGAAACTGCAGTGTGGGGGAGGGGGAAGGGGAGGAGAGAAGTTTTCCTGGTTGGGGCCAGAGTGGCCATCAGGGCACCCTGGGAAGGGCTGGAGGCCCCCTATTTCAAAATAAGCTTCTACACAGTGCTTATTTCAAAATAGCAATTTCAAAATTGGTGCTATTCCTCGTGGAATGAGGTTTACCAATTTTGAAATAAGCCCTTTGCTATTTCAATTTCATTTAAAAAATGGCTGTGGAGACGCTGGTAAAGTTATTTCGAAATAACAGCTGTTATTTGTTACCCTTACAGAAAAAAGCAGAAAAAGATACACAAATTGTGAACCGCAGTTTGTGTATCTTTTTTCAACTTTTCCCTGAAATGTAGACATATCCTCAGTGGACCACAAGATTATCATAACCAAGATGGTTTCCCCGGATAGGGTAGTTTTACTCACTGCATTTGCATAGCTAGAATTTGCGGGGTGTGCTGATAGAACCATAGCAGCACTTTGATTGGATGCAATCTATGTTGTATTCAATCAGCATGCACCTCACTTCACATGGTTTTATTTTACATGCATGTCACTTTAGTAATACCAGTAGGAAAATAACTATGTGGCTGGAAACCAGCAAAATCGAGCAACCCCATGTATGGGCAACAGTAAATAAAATGTCTCAGGGGCCAGGCATAGAACTCCAGGGGGCCACATGCAGTCCCAGGGCACAGGCTTCCCACCACAATGTTCTTAATAAACTTAAAAATAGACACCATTTAACTTATCCATATTTAGAAGTTACAATTACTGAAGAGTAAAAAAAAGTGCTGTTACCCCCAAAAATTCCTACTGGAGACCAGGCAGGGTTACACTGGGCATACTCTCTGGTGACAAAGGTGGATGAGTCAATAAACTAAAGAAGATAGAGCTGCCATCAAAGGTTTAAACTAAAGAGGGAACCAGCTATTTCTCTCTCACACAAACAAACAAACAATCACACACACACCAACATTCATTCACTCATTCACACACATTCATTCCTGCCCTCAGGCACTCACACACTTACACAGGCATATGGGTTGCAGAAGGAGCCAAGGCGTGTTGTTTCTGGAGGGTCTGTCTGCTGATCATGGCAGGGGAGCTGGTCAGGAAAGAAACTGGCTGTAGAAAGAGGAGCTTCACAAGAAGAGAAAAAAGGGGGGGGCTTCTGCCACATGCTCTCTCCTTTTATTGCCTCTGTATAGCTCCTATGACTCATCCATCTTCATCACCAGAGAGCATGCCCAGACTTCCCTTGATCAAGCAGAGCAGCAGTCTTCTTTGTTTGCTCCCCTTGGTATGATGACTCCTCACCATGTGCCCAGCCTTGAAGTTTTAAATACACAACAGTATCCAATCACCCACACATTCATATCTCAGGGGAGAATGCAGTTTAGAGCAGTGTTTCTTAAACTTTTTAAGATTGAGGAACACCAAACAATAATTTTTTTTTATGAAGAACACCAAAGATTTTTTGTTGAGCAAAAAAAAAAAAAGATTGGGGGGGAGTTATTGAGAAAAATAAAGGTCGCTTGCCCCTTTAAGGGCAGCCATTTTGAATTCTGTTGTTCTCCGCAGCACACCAGTGTGCTACGGAACACAGTTTAAGAACCACTAGTTTAGAGCAAGTTACACGCAAGGTGGCTGAGAGTTACAAAGATTACTTACAGTAAGTTTCTGAACTTATAAAGCAAAGTTGCTGAGAGTTACAAAGTTGTAAGGTTTTACAAAAATTACAGCGAGTTGTAAGGTTTAACAAAGATTACAATGAGTTGCAGAGTTTAAAAGGCAATGCAGTTACAAAGCTTCAGAGAATCATTTACAAATTAACAGTAATGAAGTGACTTAGAAGACAATTTTCCCCCCACCCCCACATCAATGCAGTCAGCAGGAGGTTTTTGTCAGTCTCTAAGCCATATGTTAGTAGGATCTTACAATTTAGTGTATTTCCAGAAAATGTATGTGTAAAAATCAAGTAATAACTCAGGCAGAGGCTTTTTATGCAACACTAACCATGCAACATTGGAAACCTAGTTACATTTCAGCATTACTGTAATAGATTAGAAAACACAGATAGTAAAAAAATTGTTTCACAAGACAATCTTAGATGGACCTAAATAAAGAAAGCAAAAGCCTGTTCAGAAGTCAATCCATGTCCTCATGCAAAATGACTGAAGGTACCCGAAAAAGATATTTTATTGTTTTCTCAAGTGAATCTCGTCATAGAATCATAGAGCTGGAAGAGACCTCAGGAGGTCTTCAAGTCCTGCCCCCTGCAAGACCAGAGGAGTCTGTGTTTTCCATTATAGGACACATATCTATTCTACATATGTATTAAAAGAAAACATTTGCTAACAGTTGCACTATGGTGTTCCTTCTTTATGTTGATCGGTGATGGGAATGTTTCACATTTATCGTAGATACTGCCTTCTCCCTGAAATTACCACTCGCTATGCCTCTCTCCGTGAGCCAGGTCTGGCGGGAAAGGTTGGGGCTTTCTTCACCTCCCTCCCCGCACACCCTCTGAGCCTAAACCCAGAGCTAGTGCTCTGGGTACATCAACATGAGCCATGCAGAAATGGGCCTGAAGAGATTGGAGCCAGTGGCCAGTATGGAGCCCAGCACCTGAGGCTCACTGGCTATGTCCCCCCAACACCAGGGTGCCGGCCACCATCTTCGCTGCCCATGGTTCATGCTGCCTGCTGAGCCACACCCATTTGTGCAGCGCCATAGAGGGTGTACAGCCCATAGGACTGTACAAGCTGCTGGGGGTGCCGGCCAGTGCCACGCAGGCACAGATCAAGGTTTGCACCCACCACACTCCTCTTCGACTTTTGACACCTTCTACCGCGCACACTATGGCAAGCAGCTGGAACGGCAGCACAAACTGGAGGAGACAGCGCCGTGTGGGTGGGGTGAGCAACTGGAAGAGTTCTTGACTGCTGCTGGCTGTGGACTGAGCCCCACACCGGCCTGGCTCACCCCAGATCTCATGCACAGAGCATGGGCTGGCCAAAAAAAAAAAAAAAAACCTGGCGAAGCAAAGTAATTACATTCAATAGAGTAGTCATGGAAAATGGTTACAGGCAGTCCCCGAGTTACGCGGATCCGACTTATGTCGGATCCGCAGTTACGAACGGGGTTTTTCTCGCCCCGGAGGATGGGAGTGGCAGGACGCCCAGATGCGCCGCGGTCCCGCCGCCCGCGTCCTCTGGGGCGAGAAAAGCTGCTCCGCATCTCCCTGGTCTGCTGGTCAGACCAGGGAGATGCTGAGCAAAGCCGCGGAGCACGCGGGCCGGGGGACAG